TTCGCGTTAGAGGCGGACACAGGCAGCGGTAGTGATGGCGTTCTGGTCCTTGTCCAGGTGGGGGGGCACAAAGGCGCGCGACGATACGTGTGCTTTTCCGGTCAGGGGTGTCGTGCGCGATGATGATGATGAGAAGGAGGAGGAGGATGAGCAATTGTTGTTTTCGTTGTTGTTGTCCGTCCGACAGAGCATGAAGATGAAACTGAAAAAATGAACCAATGATATGGGCGTTCTGGCAGCAGGCGCCTTGCTACTGCTGTGGAAGCGCGGGGAGAGGGCAGGGTGACAGGCGCACAGCAGTACCAGTGGTGAATTAAGGAAATACCCCATCGTGTCGTTTGAGTGAGTCAGTCCTCAGGTTCAGCTGGATTTGGTTGCTGGGCACGACGCACGCCTTCGTCCGGGCGGGGATATATATATGTTTTTTTTGCCTCGTAAGGTCCAGGTCCAGTCCGGGCAGGGAAAGAGACAAGACAGCCATACGTCGGTGCGTGCGGACGACGCTCTATTAGTAGCTCGTACGGGAGCACTCGTTCGTGTTTTGCAAGCGTGCGGTTTCTCTGGCCTCGTGTGATGGGGAAAAACAAACGCTTTTTTTTTCACGCCATGACGTGGATTTTGTGCACACATGAGTGGTGGTGGTGGTGGTGGGTGGATTTTTGAGCAGCACTACTCTGTGGACAGCCACGCCTTTTTGTGTTGTTTGTCATTTCGCCGCGGGTCGCGCGCCGTGTGGCTGGTTGTTGTGCTATGTGACGCTTCAGATATGAGTATTACGATTTGAATGGTGCACGCGTCCACTCGGCCGCTCTCTCTTGACTTTACAATTGCTTTTAAGTTTCGGTTTCAAAACGGGAGTTTGGTTGTAGCGTACCGGTGCTGTTTACTTGGTAACGGATGGTTCTTGGCGCCTGTCGGGGGTGGAGGAGTCGGATTCACACGGCGGTTCGGTTCGGTTCGATTTTTCTCTTGTTTTGCTTCCTTTTTCGTGGAGTTAGAGGGCCCCTTGTGGGCGTTTGGTTGTATGATTTCGGTGCGCACGTAGAAGGCCGTGCGAAATAACGGGTAGAAATTGTTTCGATTCAACTTGAACTCTAACTGGTTGGGCTGTTTTACGGTGTTAGGAGGGGGGGGGGGGGGGGGGGTAGACGTATGTATACACGCGTGTTTTGAGGGAAGGGCCGGGACGAAGCGAGGAAGGCGTGCGCAGCAGGAAGGGAGAGCGGGGAGAAGCGGCGACATTCATGGGACCGAAGAGGGAAAGTAGTAGAGGGCTCTCTCTCTCTCGCGCGCGCTCCTTGTCTCTTCTGTGTTTTGCCTCACGGCAGCTGTTGCTGTACTGACTGATGCACAAAGTGTGCGTTGCGAGTAGCATACTTAACTCCCACTGAAGGGAACGCGGGGGGG